GATAGGCCAACCAGTGGGCCCAACATGTGCCAAGACCAGAAATCTGACTCTGCAGCAAAGCTCTTGCTTTTTTTTTTTTGGTACTGGGGATCGAACTTGGGTCCTTGTGCTTGCCTAGCAGGCGGCGAAACCACTGAGCTAAATCCCCAGCACCCTGCAAAGCTCTTGTTTTATGTGTCCTCGTAGAACACAAGACACCAGCTGTTGCTGAGTGGGTGGCAGGGGAAGAGAATTTCGGCACAGCACACATAGACCCACCTCTGCCAAGGACTGTTTTAGTAGAGTTCAGTGTGCGCTGCTGCCTCACCCTTTGGGGCTGGGGTCTGGGTGAAGTGTGCGGGCCTCTCTCTCTTTGGTTTCTTCTGGGATTCACAGTCTTCCCACTAGGTGAATGGCCACACCCAAGAAGAAAGATATAACTTCCCTTTGTCCCTCTGTCCCTTGATGGTTAGTACCAAGTCTCTAATTATGCTGATGATATTCTTTGTGTTTTGTTTTGTTTTTGTGAGACAGGGTCTTGCTCTGTAGCCCAGGCTGCCTTTAACTCACTATGATTCTCGTGTGTCAGCCTCTCACATGCTGCCACCAGGCCCAGCTCTGCTAATGATATTCTTAAATTTATTTTCTGTTAAGCAACATGGTGAAATAATAATAATTCATGAGACTATGAGACTGATTTATTTTACAATGGCCTTTGTCAGTGAATTACTTAGTATACTTATGTCCATAAAAACATTTTGTTCATAAAAATATTTATTTTTAAGTTCTCTACAAACATACTTTCAAAAGACCTTTACATATAGTCAAATTTGCTTTTAAGTTTCTCTTTACATCACACACACATAATTTTATACAAATACACATATGTGGTTTTTGTATTGTTGATTTTTTTTTTTTTTGGTACCGGGGATTGAACTCAGGATCTTGTGCTTGCAAGGCAAGGTGGTGGAACCACTGAGCTAAATCCCTGGCCCTGTATTGTTGAATTTTTAACTGCATGGTTTTCCATTTTTTTTTTTAATTACTCTTTTAGCTTGGAATGTTAATAACAGAAATACCACGGACCGGGTGGCTTAAATACCAGAAGTTTATGCCTCACAAACCTAAAGGCTAAGAAGTTCATGATGAGGGTGCCTGGAGATGCCCTTCCCGAGAACGCTGCCTTCATGATCTCACGTACACCCCCCACAGTGGGGTCAGGGCTTTCACAGGTGCTTCAGTGAGGATGAGTGTGGAGCGCAAGTACCCAATCTGGAGTGCCCTTCCTGCTCTCCTTTCTCCTCTGCCCATAATAATACATCACCCCTTCCAGGTAATCCCTATTAATGACCTAAGGCTCATCAGTCCGTATTTTTATCCATGCCTACATCATGATATACAACACGTACCTCCCCATAAACATCTGTAAATATACACAGTTGCAGCTTTTATTGTTATTTACCAAAGGGAAGCAAAACATATATCTTTTTCTCCATTTTGCTTTTTTTAAAAACACAACATCTTGTGGAAAGTCCTCCAATGAGTGATAAAGGTCTAAATCAAATCTCAAAGGCTATATTATATTCCCTGGTACAAATACATCTAAATTATCCAGCCATTTCCTTGCTGGTGGGCATTTGCTCTGTATGGAGTTTTGTTACTATGAGCAAGGCTGAAAGTGACACCCTCCTCCTCGTTTATCTGTGTTGGAGAAGAGGCTCAGTGCTGCATGGAATGATGAGACAGAGTGTAGCACCTCAGTCTTCATATCTCTTCTACTTTAGTGTTTCACCCGAGGTGCTGCCTGGGTAAGACTAGTTGGCTCACTAGCCGATTTGTCAGAAAGTCTCAAAGTGTGACATTTTCCGGAGTCAGTAAACTCAACTTCAATGTTCTAGGTACAGAAAATGGACTTCATCCATACATCTCAGGACAATCTGCCTTTTTGGGATAACTTTCAGACCCTGAGTTCACATGACATCTGGATCCATGACTGATGGTGCTCACTTACAATGACAGTTCTTTCTCTCTGTTAACATTTCCGATTAAACTGTAGCCCTATATAGGGGAACTCAAGGTATTGGCTCTCCAGTTTATTCACTCATTTGACAAATACTTATTGATATATCAGGCACTGGAAAGTACTAGGGATAAATCTATGAATAAAAAATAAAAACTTCATCTCCATGAGGGAAATGTTAACGAGCAATATAAATAAGGAAATGTTTTCATGGGTCTCCGAAGCCCGTCCCCTGTCTCACGGGTTCTGTTGGCACTCAAGAGGAAGGAACTTCTAGATGCTAGGATGCTGGAATTGTTGGCAGTCACCCTAAAGTCTGATCACCACAGAGAACCAACAGAGATTTTTGTCCGTTTGAGTGTACAGAGTGTGACAATGTCAGGAACAACCACAAAGTCAGAGTTGCCGTTAATTTAGGGAAGACTAAAAAAGAAGATCGAGCGTTTGATTTTGACTACTCAAAGAATGGGATGTAGGCACCTCATCACTGGGTGTGGTGGTGTACACCTATAATCCCAGCTGCTCTGGAGGCTGAGGCAAAAGGATTGCAAGTTCAAACCCAACCTGGGCAGTTTAGCAATTTAAGGAGATCCTGTCTCAAAATAAAAATTTAAAAAAAGAACTGGGGTTGTTTTTCTGTGCAGTGGCCCTTGGTTCAATCCCTAGTTTCTCAAAAGTAAATTTATTTATTTATTTATTTTTAAATGGACTGGGGATGCAGAGCTCAGTGGCAGAGTGACCCTGGGTTCAATTCCAGTGCTGGAAAAAAAGGGGAGAAGGAGATGTGTATGAAGATGTCAAGCAGAGTCGAATACGTGAGTCTAATTTGAGGGGAGGTCCATGATAGACTGACAGGTTTGGGACTCATTAGCATGTAAGTGGCATTTAAAACCAAGAAATGAAATCACCATTTAATGAGGGTAGATATTAAGACAGTCCGAGGATTAGATGCTAGGGTCCCCCAAACTGAAAAGTCAGGTAGTAGAGAAAGAACCAGTGAAAGAGACTAAGTGAGATAAGAATGCAGGAGGGGTGGGCCCTTGAAGTTTTTCTGTGTTGAGTCATTTAAATCTCAGAAAGGAAAGTTTTCCCTGCCATCTCCCAGTTTAGGGAGATAACCTGCTTATCGTGTTGCCTCTCCCATCCTGGAATGGGTTACTTTTCTGTGTGCTCTTGGGCACTAAATGTAAATGGAAAGAAGATTTTACTTTGCTGTGAAAGTTTAATGACCAAATGTGCATTTTTGCACAAATAAGCTAACACAATTCCGTGTGTGTGTGGGCAGCATGGTCAGTGGGAGTGTGTGAGCAGTTCCATTCTGAGACTAACACCATAAAGGAGGCCAATCTGTGAAGCATGCACCCCTCCAATGACACAGCTCATTCATTGCCTCCAAAGTGAGGGTTTCAAGAGTGACACAGGAATGTGACTTCCCTAAATGTATTAGAAGTAGATAATAGAGGTATTTTAAAAATCAGTACACATTTATTACTAATCAAAGGGGTAATCCTAATTAAATGAACACTTTGAATATAGTTGCATATAAAATGTTTGTGATGAAGGTAACTGAACACAACAGTGAAGGAAGAGAAAAAGCGATTTGGTATGGTGATTGCTTATCGAAGTGAGCATTTTCATCTTCTCAGTTAATTCCCATCCAAAGTGATGATGGGGTTTTCATTCTATTTTTTCATAGATGTGAGAACTGGGGACATAGTTCATAGTAGTTCCTACCACTGATTTTCCGTCTTCCAATTTTCTTACTGTTGCACTTTCCTTCTCATCTCATGGCTGGTGTTGAACCATTTATAAAATAGTGCATAGTCTGAGTTTTTCTGCTGTCAACTGTAGTTTCTTCAAACTTCTCTTCTAGGTTATAAGAAAACCGAACTTTTCAAGGTGTCTCAGTTTTTATGGTAAGGTTTTTGCTGCAAAATCTGGCCATTGTCCCCGTTTTTTGAATAGCCACTCCCACTTGGCTTCCTGACCATGTTCACTGGGATCTTTCTCCCCACCCCAGCCACCTTCCTACCTGCTGTGGGGTGGTGGCCACGGTGGGCACTGGCATGTGTGTGGAATGTGGGGAGCAGGATCTGGTCAGAGGAGTGTGGGGTCACAGAGGCATTTTTAGGAACACCATAAAATGGACATTTATTTTAGTATTGCTGTATTACATAGAGAAATTTACTAAAATCATTAAAATCCAAGGCTTTTCTGTGGGCCAAACAAACCACTGTTGCATACTTGGAATTTAAGGATATATTTCAATACCTTTGGCTTTGGATAAATATTTTCAGTTCTACAGAACAGAAAAATAATCACAGACTTCTGAGTGGTTAAAGTAGAAACAAAGCCTCCATTTGTCTAAACTGAGTTCATTGCAATTAGCATTATCAGTATTGTAAATATACACTACACACATTGTGCCTTAGCTGTGTGTATTGAAACTATGTCACGGGGTTCATGGGCCGCTTTACACATAAATAAAAACTTGTGTGCTTGCTTAAAAGACAAATATTCTTTCCAGTTTCCATCAAGTGTTTCTTAGGTGTCTTCATTGCCTGGCAAAGTCAGTCCATGTGACAAATGTTAAGCTTGTTTCTTAGTAGGGTTGTATTGATTTAAAATTAATTTTCAAGCAGTGTGCAAATAATCCTATTAGTTCCTTGTAACAGAGCAGAATGTATTCTCCGCTTAACAAACGGGGAAACCGAGGCAGAGCGCTCAGAAGCTCTCTGAGCTGGGAGGCCTGGGGGTTGTGGACCACACAGAGGACAACTTGGACGGGGGTCTGCTGCGTCTGGAAGCAGCAGCTACAACAGGGTAATGAATGGCTGCCTTGCCTTTCAGATGGGCCTGGAGGTCAAGTTAGTTTATTTGTTTTTAATTTAGCTGAAATTATGGGCTGGTTGAAAGGTCCCTTTGTCTACAGTGGTCTTTAGAATAGCAGGCAAACCCGGAGGTCTCTCCCTCTTTCCCCAAACCCTTCCCTCTCTTCCAGGATTAGCGAAGCACTGGGGAGGCACATTCATTTCGCGGTGGCGTTGTCAGGAGCGATCAGCGAGTTTTATGAAAAGCCCGGAATTGCCTGAAATGCCTCCTTGTCTGAGCCTGAGATGAGAGGGGCACGGTGAGACCTCCCTGTGTGACCCCGGCCCTGCCCCTTGGCCCTGGGAGAAACCCCGGAGGAGGAGGCGCCTTCCTTGGTGCTCGCTGGTGCTGCAGGCAGGGCCCGGCATGAGCCCTCCAGGCTGGAGTGCGCACTGCGCCCTGGTGCTCCCCCTGCTCCTGCACGCGACCCATCCCACCTTCGTCAGCCTAAACCGCGGGCTGAGGGTGACCAAGGGCAGCTCGGCCTTCCTGTCAGCGGAGGACCTGCAGTTTGCCATTCCAAGAGAGAAAGACGCCTGCAAAGTGGAAGTCGTGGTGCACGAGCCCATAACCCAGAGGGTTGGGAAACTCACTCCTCAGGTGGGTCACATCTGAGTCTCTGTTCAGGAGAGTGTGTGTGTGTGTGTGTGTGTGTGTGTGTGTCTGTCTGTCTGTCTGTCTGCCTGTAAGAGAAGCAGGCTGAGATTCAAACAGACACCATGGGTGGGTAGCCTTCCGAAGGCAGAGTGGGCAGTTCCCTGTCGGGTAGGCTGTGACCGGTCCTATAGAAGTATTCGTGCCCACAATCATTGACAGAGTGCCTTGGGTAAGAGACCGAGATTTTCAGACATTTTAAGGACATACCTGTGACCCTCAGAATAGCAAAGGTAAAACACGAAGGCATTTTCATTTCATTTATTTATTTATTTTTTGGTACTGGGGATCAAACTCCAGTGCTTGAGTGTGCAGGGCAGGCGGCAGAACAAGTGAGCTAAATCCCCGGCCCTGGCATTTTCATTTATTAATGTCACTTAGGTGTTCACTTGAGTAAGGGAAGTAGAAATGAGATGTGAAGAACTCTAAACATTCACAGTTCTTCAAAAACGCTTGCATAAATATTTTCCCCTTTCATCAAAACTCCAGGGACCTGCTTATTAAGGGTATTCCATGGTCACTTCTTTTATAGGATGAAGTCACCTTCTAAGTTTGTATTTTTGTATATTGCTTTTGCTTAATACATACACAATAGAAAGTTGCTTCTGGTTTGGTTACTTGTTCCTACTGTGACTTCTCTTTGCTCCCAAGGCAAACAGTCTTGAGAGTATGCAATTCTAGATGCAGCTGCTACTCCTGGAAAAATGTACCAGTCCAATTGCTAAACCATGAACATTATTTCTTCTCCATTTAGGTACAGATACATATATTATAAAGTTACGTATGGTACTACTTCATGTTGTAAACACTGAACAAAAAGAATTGGGTAGATGCTAGCTCAGTGATATCTGTAGATATTTTATTTACCTAACTTAAAGTTATGGTCCAATTCTGAAACACCTCCGAAGTTCATGGAAAGGGGTCTCATATGAGGGCTATTCCTGATGTCGTGGTAACCAGATGTCTCCCTCTAGTTTTCTGAACCCTTGTAAGACTTTTTGAAGAGTTAAAGAGCTTCAGATGGGTATCTAAAAGTGTTAGAATACAATAATGTTGGTGGATATTGTAACATTGTCTTCCCAAGTGTTTGGTAGTTGCAACTTCTTCCCACTTTTCTCTCAACATTGCTTGCACTCTGAAAGTGTGTATTAGGGCACAAGGAGATCCCAGGTGCAGTAAACAGGATGGCTAGGTGATATGAGTAACCTTAACAGTGGGAGCCTGAACTACAGGGTCTGAGATCAAAAGCAAAGTATAAATCCTTAGAATTTTGAGGAGCAGTAAGAAAGAGCCCCGATTTTAGAGGACTGGTAGCATACTTTTTTTTTTTCTTCTTGAGACAGGGTCTTGCTATGTAGTCTAGACTGGCCTTGAACTCTATGTAACCCAGGTTGTCCTAAGACTCACTGCAATCCTCCTGCCTCAGCCTCCCAAGTGCTGGGATTACATGTGTGTGCCACCAAGCTCGGCTGAGTTTAGAGGACTGGAAACTTTGATACGACAGGGCAATATATTTTTTAAAGGTGTTCAATGCTTATTTAGGAGTGAGGCCGAGTAGAATTACTTTGGGGGAAAAGAAGAAACAAAATCCCCGCTGACAGCCAGCAGGGGCAAGCTCTCTATGCTGTCATCCAGTATATCTAGCTGGGACCCCGGGAAAGCAGAGCCCACGAGCAAAACCAAATCCCTGCTGTTTGCCAGTTTCTGCTCTGAGAAGGCAATTTGGAGAGGATCTGTTGTCACCTATTCTGGCCTCTGAGGATGATCCTCTCTCTGGCCCAGGCGGCCTGTGACTTCTGACACTCTGAGGTAATCACGAATTGCCTTGTTATACACTTTCAGTGATGTTTTAATGGTTTGGATCCTTTGGCCTGCTCTGAGGCACTGGGGAACAAAAAGGGATCCAGGGGACTGGAACTGGGTAAAAAAAAATGTGATCCCAAGGTCTGAGGGTCGGAATAGACCTCCAGTCATCTCCATCTTAAATTTTCTCTGATTTTAAGGCAAAAAGCTCATTATTAGGAAGATAACAGGGAACAGAGACAACAAAATGCCTGGCTGATGTAGGATATGCTCGACTAGGAAAAACCCTCTCCATACTGATCCTCTAGTTTATTGCTGCTCATTTGAGAAACTAGAATCTCCTCCTGGATGTTCACTGAGTGTATTTCCAAAGGTGAATATGATACTCCAAACTGATTGGCATCATCTAAAGTGGGCATGTGATTTATATCTTCTAAAATTTACTTTATGCCAGAAGAGCCCATCAAAATGTGAGGTTTCATCATCATTTTACCAAATATTAAAATTTTGCCATTGAAAAATTTATACTGTGGAAGAACTTTGCTTCTCAAACAGCTTGGTGATTATTCCTTTTTTTTGAAATTCTGAAATTTAACAAAAACAAGACTCCCAAGTATTCTGAGCCTGAGGGGAATTTTAGTTTGAGTTTTAACCTAGGTAGGCTTAACCCTCCCCAGAGATTTATTATTTAGAGTCTTTGAAATTAAGCATGGCAAGTGCAGTGTGTGTGTGCGTGCACACACACACTCACATGCATGCATGCACACACACATGCACACACAGCCTAAACATTGTTCTTTAATAGAATTTAATAGTAAGCCAAAAGCTAGGCTTATGTCAACTCATTTCTAGAGAGACGACAGCATTAACAACACCCTGCTGTGTAATGAACAGTTTCATGTGATTTGCACAGAAAATGTTTTGTTTAACATCTGTTCAATTAGTGTTTTCATTTCATTACTGAAGTTTGTTTTAGAATCAACAGGTTCATTTTCCTATTGGATGTTTGGAAAGGGGCTTCAGGGAGTGCGTGGCAGCACCTTCTGTCTAGATAACCCCCTTGGTATAGGCAATTAGACGGGGTCAGTGGCAATATGTTTGCCTTGTGTTTTAGGAAAAGACTTCCCCATAGCAGCCTTCTCACACCTGTCCCAAAGTAAGAAATTTCCCAGGTGGAAAAGCACCCCAGTTTAGCCCTGAGCTTGCCCTTTTGAATAGGAAATACAGCAAGCAGTAAGAAAATTTCTCTAGTTTGAACCAGTTTACTGTTATTAAAGTGAGTAATGAGTTAGGAATGTGTGACAATTTAATTATAAATTGTAATTGAAAAGCAGTTGAAGTGGAAAAAACAAAGCTAGACAGTAATTAGAAAAGGATTTAGCTCTCCTTTGTTTTATTTAGTAAATTTATGGACAATTATGGTTGTCGCCTTTTATAAAAGGAAAGCATATTATGAAGCACAAAACAGATGTTTCTTTTAACGAAGCAGATTGTCTCTTTATTACCACAACTATTTGTCAATGATATGGGGAAGGACTTCCCTTTATCTCCCTCCTACTTGTCAGTTAAAAAGGAACCCGTGAGATCTGTGGGACAAGAAAATAATTTATATTAGTGATAGAGTTTTCTCAGGTGCATTATGTTTTCTGAAGATGTTTGAAACTGCAAAAGGTATAGACACCATGAACTGTACAGTGAGGATGTGTAAATATCTTAAAGGTATTTCTCAAAATTCTATCTGGTCCAGCTTGCGTAGAACGGGAGTCAGAGGGGGTAGAAAGACTTTTCTTCAAAAACTAGCATTCCCAAACTAGGTTAAAAAAAGAAAAAGTAAAAAAAAGGGTTCTTAAACTAAAAGAGTAATTTTCTTAATAATTCTGAGGTGATACAGTTAATCATAACTGTATCTGAACAGAGGAGATCGTCTTTGGAACTCTGTCTCATCAGCCATCTGTGCCATTACATTACACAACCAATCAACATAGTCTTTGTGACTACATGGGAAACAACTCCAGATCACCTTTGACTCTGAATAGTGTCCGTAGTCAGTAGCTTCATCCCCCGCCCAGGGATCGAACGCAGGACCTTGCGCTTGCGAGGCAGGCACGATGCCACTGAGCTAAATCCCCGGCCCGTGGCTTCATTTTTAATATGGAAATTCTATCTGGAAAAGAAAGACGTGAAGGAAAACAAAAATATACAGAACAAATACAGCTTGTTTGTGGGTGGGATGATGCATGCTTTTTCATGCAGATGCAGACACACACCTAACTCAATTTCTTAGAGAGAAAATAAGATTTTGACAAATGGACCCATATTTTAAGAGCAGAATGTCTGTGAAAAGATAATTATTTTGAGAAGTAGTCATCCCTTAATTCATTTTCTTGACCTGCTTGGAGTTTTGTAATTTAGATATTCTTAAAACAAGACACAGCTGTACAAGCAGGAGAGTGAGTAGGAATGGGGGTAGGGTAGAGATTATTGTTGGTCTTTAAAACACACAGACACACACTTTCACACCTCTAGCAAACCATTGTTTTTCCAGACAGCACTTACAGCTAGAAAAAGTGAAATTTCGTACCAATTTTCTCATAGATGTTTATCCATTTCTTCAAATGAACTAGGTCTTTGACTGCCATTTCCTTCCCAATGAAGTAAGGTATACTCACAATGGTTGCCCAATTCTTGATGAAGACACCGTGAAGCTTAGAGTTTACAGGTAAGTGGCACAGGAGTATTGTTTATTTCTTGCCAGATAATCATTCTGTGTGTTTTTGAGGCAAGAATTGCAGCCAACTTTCAATTATCTTCATTTGCATAATCTTCACTGGGGCTTTTCCACAAATTATTCATTCTTTTTGCTTTTAGCACTTTTATACAGGTTATCTCTAGTATTTAAACCCATCACTTATGGGAAATAGAAATTACAAACTACAAATTCTTAATGAGAATCAGGTAAAAAATATACTCCAAAATTAAGTGAAATTCTTTTTAATTACTGGCTGTCTAAAGAAATGCAATCTTTCATTTTTAAAAATTAAACAATACAGATGTGTTTAAAATCAATCATATAATTAAATATAGAGTGACCATATGACCAGTAATTCCCCTTCTAGGTACTCAAGTGAAATAAAATTCTAAGTTTATAAAAAAACTTGTACATGACTGTTCATTGCAGCATTGTTCATAACAGTTAGAATATTGAAAAACTCCAACTGATAAATATACATTCATGCCATGAACTATTATTTAGCCATACTAAGGAATGAAGCCCTGCTTAATGCTAAAACATAAGCAAACCTTTAAAATATTACGTTAAGTGAAAGAAGCCAGGTACAAAAGAACAAATGTTGTGTGGTTCTATTTATATGATGTGTCCAGAAAGCCATAGAGACAAAAGTAGATGTGTGCTGCAGCAGGCAGAGGAGTGACTACTAATGGGTCACTTTTGGGGTGATGAAAATGTTCTGGAATTAGATAGTCACGATGGTGGTATAACTTCGTGAATATACCCAAAGCTACAGAGTTACACCATGTAAAAGAATGAATTTCACGTATAGGATCATAGATCAATAAAATTAATTTTAAGGTTATCATAGTATTACTGATTTAATTAAAGCAACTGAGAACTCAGTGTAGGTGGAGTAGGCCTTTATAGTTTACTTGTCTTTTATTACTCTTGAGAATATTTGTTTAAAATATGTTGGTGTGAATTTCCTTCAATCACGAACTAATGCAGAAGACTTTTGAGGAAGACTTTGAAACATTTGTGACCTCCTACTGTAGGTAAGGCTCTATGTGGGGATAGGAAACAAAAGGATGAAGATACACAGACTCGTCTGGTGTTCGTGATCTAATGCAAAACATGGGCAGATAATTAGGAAGCAGAGCCCCAAGTGCCAAAACAAAGGCACAGAACACAGAGTGGCAACCCAGAATTCCTTAGAAAGCTATAAAGTCAGCAGACAGGGATGTTTGATCTTTCCAAAACTTTAGAAAAAACTTTTTTCTAAAACTTTTTAAAAAAAAAACAACTGACTTCAAAGAGCTTGCCAGGAAGGGCTGAAAAGTCAATGAATTCTAATTGATCATTTCTTGAATTTCTAGGGGCAGGAAAGTTTGAAAAGTACACATGAAGGGCAGGGTTAGGGGAGCCGGGACAGCTCTTGGTCTTGAGGACCGTGAAATAGACTATTCAGAGGAATTGTCAGCAGAGGGTCAGAGAGCATGTTTATTTCCCTCTTATCTCTCTCATAGCCCTTTTAGCAAGCTGTGGGACTTCTTTATCTCTCAGTTTCCTCATCTGTAAACTGAGATTGACAATGCCTGTTATAGATTCTTGTACAGATTGGACAAGATTCTGTTGTAGAGTTGAGCATAATGCCCAGACCGTAATAAAAGCATATCTATTAGGGATTGCATTATTAATGCAAACTCATCACTGATTTTTTAAATAATGGCCCACCTCTGTTAGCATCTGCAAACACAGAGATCAGAGCACCCTCGGTACTCTGAGCACAGTCACTGGGGGTTGGAAGGGATGGCAGTAACAACTGCTGATCGATTTTACACAGCAAGATCTGAGCTGAGCACCCAAACTAGTTAAATGATCACCCATTTAGAGGCATTTCTGAAGAACAGAAAGGCCATGGTACTTAAGAAACCCTTCACCCTTCAGTCCTGAGTTAACACTGAATGCATAAATTACACAGGCTTTGTATTCTTCAATTACATGTGTGCTGGAAGTGAGACGTTAAGGTCTCTGCAGTCATTAAATAGCAGTGTGGATGCTGAATTGAAAGCAGGTATTGAAAGATGGATGTTCAGAGGGGGAAGTGGCAGGAAAAGGCATTAAATTTAAGGAAAAGAGAAGAGCTGTGAATAGGTTGGGAGTAGGGCATGAAATAAAGTTCAAACTCCACTTGATGTACGAATTCTGTGGAGGTCAGTCTTTAAGTTTCAAGCTAAGTGCACAGGGGTCAGAAGTATCTGAGAACAGTAAATATTGCTTTTGCTTTGTCCTGTCCACAGATTTACCGAAACAGACACCTTCATGGAAACCTTTGTTCTGCGGGTCTATCTCCTGGAACCAGACTGTAGTGTCATCCGGAGGAGGAGCCGTGTGCTGGAGGTGTCTGAATTCTATGGCCTGTCCCAAGCAATTGATAAGAACCTGCTCCAATTTGATTATGATGGGACGGCTGGTCTGGAGTGCACTGTAGAGCTGGACCCCATGAGAACTCATCTGCCAGCTCACGGCCAGATGGTCGTGGTGGAGCCTCAACCGGAAGAACCTCGTGGAGATCAGCCACACAGTTTTTTTCCTGAGTCCCGTATGATATCCTTCAATACTTATCAGAATGTTACTAAAGCTGATCAGAATATCCAGGCAGTCATCTTCCACTATGACAAAGATTTCTGCTGAGCGAGTGCAACTTTTGGCTGGTTGAAAAGTGTAGAGTAGTGATTAAAAGCCTAAACTTTGGAAGCAGAAAGACCTAGATTTGAAAATGACCTCTGCTATTTATTTCCTGTGTTTTTTTAGTTTTTAACTGATATGAGCCAATGTAAGTAGATAATAGCTGCTCCATAGGGCTGTGTGAGGATGGGAGTAAATGAAACTACACACACGCACACACACAAACACACAAAGCATGACACAGTGTCTGACTCAGAGTAAGTACTAATCACTTGACAGCTGTTATTAATAGCAATGGCAGCAATAGTGAGAGTAATTTATTTATATTTCCTTAAGTATTGTTGGACTATGATCTAGTTTGAAGTAGAGCTGATAGGCAACAGCCATAGTTTAATTCAAGGAGAGTTGATGGATAATGTTTCTTCTGTTAGTCATCCAGCCAATACATTGTGGGCACTTCCTATATCTATAAAAGTGTTCTTCCATAGGAAGTGTGCCAAGAAATGTACAGAATAATCATAGCTGTAAATAATAGCTTGAATTTGGGCAGAAGTTTACAGCTGAATGTGTGCTTGAACAAACATCTCATTTGATCTTTTTCTTCTGATTAAGAAATACATTATCTATGTTGTACATCAGTGAGACTCAAAAAATAAGTGGTCTATGAGTATCATAGACCCAACAAGAGTGAGAAATGCAGTTGGGCAGAGACATGAAGACTCCTGGGGAAATAATTATGGTTTTCAATGAGACAAAGAAGGGTGATTTGAGTGGTGACAGAATGTTTAAGAAAGGGTTTAGGAAGAGACACATTGGATCTAGAAGGATACACAGGATTTGAGTGTATTTGAGGATCTGGGTGAGTAGAACTGTCTTGGGAAATTGTGTGATGGAGCCACAAGGCTGATGTTTTAGAGGGAGGATTGGAGCTGGACTGGGGAAGTCCTACAGTGAGTCATCGTCCCATTTGTCAGCAGTGTTCACATAACCAGAAAACACATTTCATTATCTTTTATCTCAGAGTTTTAGCCATTAAGGCTTGGAGAGCCAACTGGTCAATTATTCTCTTCAGTAAAGGAAATTATCAGCTTTCAACATAATGACAGCCCACTCAGTGAGTAGCTAGAAGGTGTACATGAGTGTGCTTGGGCAGTGAGAAGGAATAGCATCCATGGGAGGAAGGTCTTTTGTTCAACTTTTACAGTAGTTGTATTTAAATGGCAATCCTAATGCCACACTGTGCATTCTAGAACTGGAAACAGAACTGAAGTGTCCAGGCAGAAGCTGTACCCTGGGACTGAAGAAAATAGGAAGTCTCAAAGTGAGCTGTGAGGAGTTCCTGATGATGGGGCTTCGTTATCAACATATGCACCCTCCTTCTCCCAACATCGATTATATCTCCATCCAGCTGGACCTTACAGACAGCAGGAGTAAAATGCTTTACAAGGTAGAGTCCGGCTATATGTCAGGTCCCCAGCTGATTGACAGGAAGAGAGCCACCTCCACGGGGGAGCTCATGCTGGCTCCTGTGCGAGTAAAAGTCCTGTGCTATTAGGGTGGAGCTGCCCAGTGACTCACTGGAACTGCAGGGTCATTTATTCTGTCAGTAATACTTAAAATAGTAGCTTTTGTATATAATATGAGCACAAATTTCTCTCTGTTTCTCTTGTAGCTAGCTGTACATCCCAACTTGGGAAGGACTGGGACTATTTACATGTTCACCATCTTCATTCTTTACCTCCAGAGCTTTTTTTAGTTCTTGGTTCTGGTGATTGAATCCAGGGCCTTGAACATGCTAAGCATGCACTCTACCACTGGGCTACACCCCCAGCACCACCTCCCCAAACAGTTTTTCTGTCGTTGATTGACTCTGGGTAACAATTTCTCATTATTGCTTCCTTTCTCCTTGACATTGGGGTCCACTCTGGAAGGCCACAGGAAACCAGGAGGGAGGAGTACTCAGTACCACTTTCATGGTTGTGACAGATAATACAGTGTTCTCTCTTTCCCACTTCAGGAGGGAGGGTAGGGTCGTCAAGGAGATAGGCTCCCAAAAGCTTCCTCCATCTTTCAACAGCTTTGAATTTCTGTCACTCTCTGTCCTCTTGATCTCTTCATACTGAAATGATAACTGAAAGTGGTGTCAACTTTTATGAAATATTTAGCCTGCTACTCTACTAATTTGTGTACTCTACAATTTGTTTATTTGGGAAACTAGGGCCACAGTGCACCAGTGGAAACAGCTCAGATTCTGTGCTTATGTAAAGATGATCCAGGATGATATTTAGGAAGACTTCCATTTTTATGGTCTGTCTTCCTACTAGGATTTCTCCAAAGAGGCTTAGTCAAATAGTGAATGTTATTACCCTGAAGACTTGATCCTTTAAGGAAAGAAATGATTAAATAGGACCATAGGATTTTAGATTTAAGATCTGGAGGGAAAAACTCTTTGAGGTTGTTCAGGCTAACTGATGAGGAAAATCGGCTGAGGAATTTTTAAGGGTAGATTCTCACGTCTGGTGTTAATAGGTAAGGGCATGAACACTGGGTCCAGATCACCTGGGTTCAAACATCGCCCTAACTAGCTGTATTACTTTGAACTTTATACCTTATTTTCTTCATTTTGAAATGATAATTATAGTACCCACGTCTTGGAGTAATTGGAAGGATTAAATGAGACATTGAGACAATACTTACGTGAGTAAAGTGCTTGGCACACAGCCTGACGCTTATTAAGTATATGCATACTTTGCTGGTTTAAAAAGCCACTGAGTAAAATACTTATAATCAGCCAGCTTTGGAATGGTTGGTTTAGCCCAAGTCTCTTGTGTCACAGTGGTGGCTCAGAGAAATGGCATACTTTGCCCATATATACATGGCTGTTTGATGGCTGGACCAGGACCAAAATTGTAGGTCTACTGACTCCTAGTAAATATTTTGTTTGTTTTGACACAAAACTCCTTCCACTTTCAAAGATTTCTTATCTCCATTAAAAAAAAACACGAGAGAGCCATTTTTCTTTCTGATCGATTTTTCTTTTTTCCTCTTTATTGAGTTGGGGCTTTGTTTATATTTTTAGATCTGTTTCACTGGGAGTTTATCCCTTTAAATGACTGTCTTTATTTAACATTAACCTTTTCTGTAGTCAATTTGGCATGTCATAAAAACAGGTTTACTTAGAATAAGAAGATAATATGCTCACTAAAGAGAATATTTAAAAATAGCAACATAAAAAGAAAGTAAAACTAGCTGTATTGCTGTCACTTTTATATACACAGATGCACCCAGGGGGGACTCATGCACACAAGAGTGGGTTTTATTTTGTGGAATTAAATTTACACAGCATGTGAAGTTTTGTATCTTTTTCTTTTTGTTATTTTTAAGTTTTAGAATTCATCCTCATCAAGTGACTAACTGAAAATTCACCTATGATTTCTTCTGAATTTTTTTTTTTTTTTGTATCAAGGATCGAACTTGGGTCCTTGCACTTGCGAGGCATGTGGCGGAACCACTGAGCTAAATCCCCGGCCCTTCTTCTGAATTTTTAAGTGTCATTCTCTTTACATTTGCTTTTTTAACTCCACCTGAAAAACTTTATTATATAGTGAAATATAAAACATTTTTTGTCCCAGTAGCCAAATTTTCAATTCTATTTTGAACAATTAATTTTTTTCCCATTGATTTTTGTTGATTGTTCTATTGTATAGAAAAATATAATGGACACTTTCAAGGCTAGCTCTTTTGTTCATTAAATTTTCCTGTGTATTCTTATGCTGGTATCACATTATTCTAAACAGAATAACTATGGCACTCTAATATATTAAGTTTTTTCTTGTCACCCCTTTTAAAAAATTTTTAGCTCGTCTCACCTATTTTTAGTTCTAGATAAATAATTAAATCATTTATATTAGTTTTTTTCTTAAAACCCTTAAGGATTTTTTTGGTACCAGGGATGGATCTCAGGACCTTGCGCTTGCAAGGCAGGCTCCAGAACCACTGAGCTAAATCCCTGGCCCCCTTAAGATTTTTATCTGCCCTGGATTAAATGATAAATTCTTTGAGGAAGAGTTGGAATATTACAACATTTACCATATTGAGCCATGTCATCCAGAAATGAGGTATATCACTTCATTTGGGTAAATATGATTTTATATGTTTCTGTAAAATTATAGTTCCCTTCATGTAAATTGAGCCTGCTTATTAAAATCCAGTCCTGGGCAGTTTGTTTTTGTGGAACTACTGTGAATACCCACCCCCATGATGTCTTCTTATTGGTTATTAATGATAAATAGAAAAGCCATTTTTGGTATAGTTTTCTTTTATCTGGCTTCTTTCCTGAGTTCAATAATTTTAAGGAATTTTCAATTATTTGGACTTTCAAGAAGCATAATTATATCTTTCACTAATGATGATAATTTTGTCCGTTCTTTTTCTGTAATTATTCCTCTGCTTTTGCTTTGATTCCCCACTGGTTTGACCAGAATAATGTTAAATATAGTGTTGATAATGAGAATCATTATCTTTTATATTTTATAGATATTAACTGCCCACATTGTCCTTTTTAAAGCTCTTTGCCTTAAGTTCATCTTTATTTGAAATTACTGTAGTCACTCTGCTTTTTTTCTCTTACACGATAAAATTGGATCATCCTTTTACTCTTTCTACATAATTTTAAGTGCCTTTTCTTTTAGATACATAGATATAATTGGACATTTTCACTGAGTTTCTGAATATTTGTCCTGAAAAAGGAAATACAAATCCTATTTGTGGTAATAATGGATACCCATGGTTGTTTTCTATCTTTTTATTTTATGCTTTCTTGCTAATTAGAAGAATTTGTCTTCCTGGCATATGAAAATCCTGGGTTCAGTCTCAAGCATCACAACATTGAATAAATAAATAAATAAATATTTAAATAGCGTCTTAAAATAGGTTGTTCTTTCTTTGCCTTTATCTTTACTTATTTGAAAGTTCTTTCTCATTTTACATTTTATTTAAATTTTTAAAATATCTTTTAATCTGTAGTTTGAAACACTTAAAGTCTAACATGAAATGGGGTCTCAGCTCCTTTCTAAATATGCTGAGGATTGATAGATCTGATTGATTCTTTCTCTTGCCAATTGTTTACCTCCTCAGACTTGGTTTATTTGATTTGCAATTTCTGTTCTAGTATACAATTGTTACACCTTATTATGTTTTATATTAATTATCTTTTAAGTAAGCACTTTTGGCATTTGTACCCATTTTATTGATGTATTTAAAACAACATGTATTAAGTCCTAACTCTAGACATAATTTGTCTCAGTGTTCAGCATCATTCCTTTTAAATCATGATTTATCACTTCTTGAGTTTTCAAATTATGCATCCTCCAATAGTGTTTTCCAATGGCATGTGAAATGTAGACACTCTGGTCCTTGGGGTGTTTCAGCATATTATTCATTTGTCTTTGTCACTCTGCAATGGGAAGAGGAGTCTTTGATTCTCTTTTGGACTTCTCTCTTCTGATCTTTGCTGGCTAGTTTCTAAACTTTTAAGCTGGCATTTTAGAAGAAATGTGGAGAGAAAGCTCTTATTTTCTCAGGCACTGATGGAATATGATTTCATACTCTCTGAGCCCAGCAGATGTTTCAAGCTGCTTTTTTGAATCAGGGACAATTTTTCTGGAGAGAAATTTCTCCAGAGAGCCTGGTCACAAGGGCCTCTCACTCGAAGCGCTCTCATCTTGAGAGGATGAGTTTCTAGCCTAAGAAGTCACTTACAATTTCCCCGCAGCCTCTAGGATATAATTTCTGTCTTCAGCTCTAGGCTGCTGACTTTTGGTGTCTGAAGGATGCTCATTAAAGGTCATGGTCTAGGATGATCCAAGACCACTATGGCCTGTATTTGGGGGCACTTACATGTCCTCTGCTGCTACAAGCAAGACAGGCTGATTCCAGCACAGACAACATTTTTCTTTTGCTTCTGGCCACTTAGCTTCCTCGGGTCTGAGCCCAGAGCCAGTCCTCTGTGTGCTCCACTTGTGAAACACATTTTAAGGTTGATCTCAAAACATCTTTTCTCCTGGGCCCCGAGACAAAGAATGTGGCATTCAAGCTCCCTTCCTGCTTCTCTGGGATGTGTGATGTAAGGATCACAGAAGTGGCTCCTCTCTACTCTGCCTCTCTCAGTATTTTTGCACTGTTATAAGAGCTCTAGTGTCTGGAACTGGTTCAAGACAATTTGCTGTGTAAATTTTTTTAAATTAAATTCTTTTATTGGTACATTGTAGGTATACAACACAATTACATTTCTCATTGGGAATTGTACCTTTACATAATGCATCT